GTGGGGGGGGGGGGGGAATTCATTTCTAGCATGTACCCTCGCTGACAAGGCCTTTAGAGTACCAGGGAAACCCCGGGGGTACGAAAATGGATTGTTGTAAGAAGGAGAGGCTTGATAACGGTAGCCAAACCCAGTGACGGGCTCGGGTCTCTGATCGAACTTATGACTAAACTGTTTTGCCAAGGACACGGATGGTGAACCAGCTAGGTCGTTTGGTAAGTTTGTTCCTGTAAGACCAGACAAGGAAGGAACTTGAGCATCGAAGGCTGTCCTGTAAAGGGACAGCAGATACCGTTCCAAACGCAGGATTTCAAACTCGAGCGAAGCAATCTCATCCCTCAGTTTCTCCGGAGACTGCACAATAGATATCAAGACAGGTTCAAAGCACGAAAACGTTACAGAGAAGTTCAGACAATGAGGATTCAAAGGCTTGTAAATTTGATCAGAACCAACACGAGAAATGTGTTTAAGGCTACGAACCTTTGGCGTTTCACTGACACTGGAAGCTTGGTGGGATAATCTCTTCTCGATAGGTACAATCTGCTATGAATAACGCATAGGAGAGTTACACAAAGACTCGATGTAAAGGCAAACACTTAAACTACACTCATTACAGGCTTGAAAACCGAATCGAATCCTGAGTTTTGTTCAAAAGGGCACACACGAAATCGTTTGTTCTTCTTTTGGGATATTAGGTTTTTTGGGATCTGAACTCGTAACCCAAAGATTCCCAAATAAAGGAACTTGGAAACCAGAAAAGAGATCTCTTTTTCCCCATTAAAGTGAATAGAAACATGCGGAAAGCTTTTTACTTTCGATTCCCCAAAAGAGAAATTGACGGAAATGGAGAGTGAAATCATTCTAGACAAAAGAAAGAGAATCACCGGTGTACGGTAAGAAGGGAATCTTGGAAGTGATGCGTCAAGTACATTCTGCGAAACCACATTCTCAGAATTCCTGCAGAGAAGGAACAAAAGACCCATGATCTTGCGGATGGATTTCTCGCTGGCAGACGAGAACCCGACACTGAAACTGCAGAAAAAAACGAAAATTGGGGATCTCGGACAAAGTGAAATTATACCTCGGAGAGGATGATGAACAAGTGGGAGAAGACGAAGCGGAACGGCATATCAGACCCATCATTTTCTCTCACTTTCTCTCACTTTCTCGCGCTCTGTCTGCCCGTGCGAATTACTCAGAGAATCCAAAGGAAGAAGCCCATCATCCATCAGAATCTTACTCGAAACGTCAAAGGCGTAATTTGAAAAGTTCCAACCTTTATGCTTCTGTGCCTCCAAACTTGGAAAGGAAAAACCTCATGATACTTTTCCAGGAAAGATGAGAGAGAGAGAGAGAACCAACATTTTCCCGGGGAGTTCTTCGTGTAAATCCGATATATACTGTATTGTATAATTACCATATATTTATATATATTATAATGCTAACTGTTTAGTGCTAAACTAAATTCATAATTGATGGGAAGAAGTTATGATTAAGTAATAAATGTTATAAACTGAAATTAATGAAATCATATTAAGATTCTTCTATATATGTTTTCATCTCATTGACGTGGTTTCTATTTATTAATTTAATACGAAACCTCACAGTCTTTGCAGGAGCCCTAGATTATTAAAAATGCTTCTTGTACTTCAATTTATCATAGTTGAGATTTTCCTAGTTTTAATTTGGCTGCATTTGGATTTTAACCGTTTAAAAAAAATTATATTCATTAATTTTTTTTATACATTCAATTTTTCGAATTTTAATTTTCTATTTGTGTTGTATTCTAATAAATAATACTAATTAAGAATTTTACGCTCAATTATTTAAAATTGGTTTAATAAATACTATATCTCTTTAGCTACAATTAAAATGATTGTAATTTAATATGTTCGAGTTTAGAATAAAAACAACTAACACCTGCCGTGCAGGGGACATAAAATCGTATACATAAATGTGTGGACGCGTTTGTGAAGTGGAGAAAATAACTTTTTGAAAAATTCAAAATTCTGCCATTATTAAATCTTGGGTAAATATAGATATGGCTACATATAATTCAGTTATATTGTAATAAGCCTTTAGCAAAAAAATGTAAATTGCCTGACATAGATTATGAACGAGTAAGATATTTATTTAAGCATATCTGAACAGAATCTAAGAAAATTATGACTAAAAATGTGCATTCCGTGCAATTGCATGGTCGTAGCCATTAATGCACGAACCAAGACGCTGACCCGAGAAATGATGATGCCATCCTGTCATGTTTTCATTTTATTTATTTATTATTATTATACTAGAAAGGATCCGCGCGATGCGCGGATTATTTTTCATTATATTTCATTTACATTTTTGAAATATATTGTTATATAATTTGGAAAATTAAATAAATTATTATTTTTATTATAGAATAAAACTATATCAATAATATAAAATTATTGTAAAATCATCAATATTCATTATATATTAAAGATATATGTCTTTCTCTATGCATTGCGATGAATATGTTTCATATTTTTTTTTATAAAATTTGTTAATATAAATATTGTAAAATGATATAAATGATTTTTTTAATGTAGACAGAATTTATCGATAAATTTTAAATATTGTAAAACCATTATTGTTTACTATATAATAAAAATAGATTTATCGTATGTTTAATTTTTATGTCATTGATTTGTTATTGGGTTCTCACTGTGTTTTCCGGATCTATACAAATTTTTTTGTAATAAGTTACTAATTAAAATGATATTATTAAATATTGTAGTTATGATTCGTTTTTAAAATTATTAAATCTATATATTTGATGATATTTAGTTTTACATCTATAGTTTAACATATTTCAAATTTATTATATTTTTTGTAGAATGTATTGATATGAATATTTTTATTATATAGATATATAAATAATATGTAAAATTATTTATTTTCAAATCAACATTATATTGTTCACTTTCTTCTCGATATAGACCCACTGCTCGCTTTCTCTTAATTCTTCTTAGATTATATATCGATCTCTTGCTGCGACGACGGAAGAGAAGGAGGCGGCTCAAGCTTTTTCTCTTTCATATGTATTTACTATTATTTAATTACCCACTACCCATAACTTAATTAAAATTAAGTTTTAAATTCTAATTAATTAAAATTACAATATTAACTTAACTAAAATTAAGCTCTTTCTCTCATTACTTTATTGTTTCCAAACTCCATTTAAAAAACTTATCATTTCTTTATCATTACTTCTTGTAATTATATTTTTTAGTTTATCTATTATCATATCATATATATATATTTTATTTTAAATCATTCTAATTTAAATAAAAATACACCATATTTAAAAATAAATTTATTTTGTAAAAATATTTATTATTTTCATTTTTAGATTATCAGTTTCTCCATTTAAAACGTTTTTTAATTTAATTTTATAATAATTTTTAATCATTTTAAAAGTTTATTGTTTACTTTAATGAATATTTTGTAGTAGGCACTATCAAATAATACAATTATATTCAAAAATCTAATGACCAAAAACAATAGATGCAAATTTTATCTCTTAAGTTTGAGTTCATAGATAGAACAACTTGTATAGATTTATAGGATTATATCAAAACCATCTATCATAATAAAATCTGATTTAGAAAAATAAGTGAAACAAATAATATTCGAACAAACAAATCGTAAATTTCAAAAAAAATATTTTTACATCTAATACATTTTTGTTAGACCATATGTCACATAAAACATTATAAAAAATACACTCCATGAAAACAAATATGCATTATGGCCAGTGACATATCTATATTGTGAAGGGTGGGACCACATGCCCCCTCTCTAATTAAAAAAAATGATAAATTACAATGAAAATTATTAAGTCTTATAAAAATATCATTTGGTTGTATAAAATGATAGGTATAAAATGAATGCCTCTCTTATATTGTTTTTAGGTCTCATGGATTATGGTTCATGGATAATATATTATTTTTAGGTCTCATGGATAAAATGAATGCCTATCTTATATTATAAAAATATATATTAATTAAATGATTCTAATTGTATATTGGAATCAATCAGAATCATTTAATTAATATATATTTATGTTCATCCTCATCTATTGTTTTTGGTCATTAGATTTTTGAATATAATTGTATTATTTGATAGTGCCTACTACAAAATATTCATTAAAGTAAACAATAAACTTTTAAAATGATTAAAAATTATTATAAAATTAAATTAAAAAACGTTTTAAATGGAGAAACTGATAATCTAAAAATGAAAATAATAAATATTTTTACAAAATAAATTTATTTTTAAATATGGTGTATTGTTATTTAAATTAGAATGATTTAAAATAAAATATATATATGATATGATAATAGATAAACTAAAAAATATAATTACAAGAAGTAATGATAAAGAAATGATAAGTTTTTTAAATGGAGTTTGGAAACAATAAAGTAATGAGAGAAAGAGCTTAATTTTAGTTAAGTTAATATTGTAATTTTAATTAATTAGAATTTTAAACTTAATTTTAATTAAGTTATGGGTAGTGGTTAATTTAATAATAGTAAATGCATATGAAAGAGAACTTGAGCCGCCTCCTTCTCTTTCGTCGTCGCAGCAAGTGATCGATATATAATCTTTTTTTTTGCAAATTATACATTTTCATAATTTTTTTGACAAAAATATTCTTACTTTATTATATAATTTCAATATTGTCATTTAGCGCCCCGAAAAATGTACAACATGAAAAGCAGATTTTTTTAGAAACTGTGTTATACGGGAAACTGTTTTTTCATCCGGGACAACTGTTTTCCATCCGGGAGAGTCTGTTTTTTGTTCGGGAGAGCTGTATTTTGTCTGGGAGAGTCTATTTTTTGTCCGGGACAATTATTTTTTGTCTGGGAGAGCTGTTTTTCGTCTGCGAGAGTCTGTTTTTTGTCCGAAGAGCTGATTTTCATCTAGGATAGGTTTTTTTGTCCTGGAGAGTTTTTTTTTGTCCGGAAGAACGGTTTTTTGTCCGGAAGAGTTGTTTTCCATACGAGAGAAACTGTTTTTTGTATGGAAGAACTGTTTTTTGTCCGGTTGAAAAATATTTTTTCCGATGAAAAATAGTTTTCTCGGATGAAAACAAGTTCTTCCGGATGAAAAACAGTTGTCCCGGATGAAAAACAGTTCTCCTGAATAACACAGTTTCCAAAAAAAATTGTTTTTCATACTGTACATTTTTCAGAGCGCTAAATGACAATATTGAAAATAAATAATAAAGTAAAGATATTTTTGTCAAAAATTTATATAAAGGTATAGTTTGCCAAGAAAGGGAAAAAATGTATAGATTTCCCATGACATATTTAGCACTAACGCAAATTTTTTCTATAATCTAAGAAGAATTAAGAGAAAGCCAGCTATGGGTCTACATCGAGAAGAAAGTGAACAATATAATATTGATTTGAAAATAATTAATTTTATATATTATTTATATATCTATATAATAAAAATATTCATATCAATACATTCTAAAAAAATATAATAAATTTGAAATATGTTAAACTATAGATGTAAAACTAAATATCATCAAATATATAGATTTAATAATTTTAAAAACGAATCATAACTACAATATTTAATAATATCATTTTAATTAGTAACTTATTACAAAAAACTTTGTATAGATCCGGAAAAAACAGTGAGAACCCAATAACAAATCAATGACATAAAAATTAAACATACGATAAATCTATTTTTATTAAATAGTAAACAATAATGGTTTTACAATATTTAAAATTTATCGATAAATTCTGTCTACATTAAAAAAATCATTTATATCATTTTACAATATTTATATTAACAAATTTTATAAAAAAAAATATGAGAGAAGGAGACATTGACAGAGATAGAACAATAAAATAGATTTTTTCTAATGTGCATACAAAAAGTAGTGATAGCATAACCAAACTTTGCATCATCTTTTTTTTTACGGTTAATCCAGGGAAAAAAGATATTCCCTTATAAATCATCAAATTTGAATCAACCACTAAAAAATCGAATAACATCTTGAAACATGACTAATTCTAAATAGAAAAGAAATCAAACGTTATGCATACATAACTTTGAAACATGACGACTCCACTCCATTGATATCGTGCTCCATATGCCGCAGATATGGCTTAGGATTTGCCTTTGCCGCTGATGATGGTGTCTTCGTAGTGGCACAACGGGGAAGAAGCACATGTTAGATATCTGATCAGAGACAAATCGGAATACGTCGATGGTACTCCTATAATATACCCACAAATACAAATATATTAATATTAAATATATACAAATACATATACACACAAATACATAAACATACACATATATATACATATATACAAATTTAA